GGCCCTATATGGGGGCCCCGCCGAAGGCCCCAGCGGCAGCGCCCGCGCGCCGCCGCCATTCTACCGCGGCGCACCACTCGCGCGGTTGGCGCCCCCATGTGGAGCTCCACCGAGAACGATATTCACAGATGCGGTACTCGCGGCTGCAAATTGTCGGACCCTTCGCCAGGCTAAGTTGCTCCTGAGTTGCGATGGTGGTCGATGTATAGCTCTGGAAGGTGGTGCTCCAGAGTTGTGGCGTGGTGATACATGGCGTCCAGTCGCTGGCTATACCTACGCAGTCATTTCGGTGCTTTCAGTCGGCTCGTGTTCGGCTATGGTGTTGGCGCATGTTAGGTCGCATGTTGCCGACGTTCGCCTGACCTGCGCGGCGTCGTCGTTTCCTTGCGCGCTCGCGCTGGGTAGGGCGATGCTGCCGATGCGCGGTGATGTCGCGGTCTCCAAATGAGCGTTGTATCCGGCAAGTATGATTGCTGGTGGTCGTTTGGCTGCGAAGGTATTGGAAATGCCCCGCTACTCGGCTGGGCGTCTGGGATGTGGTTGGACATGCGGGGCGCGTGCTACGTAGATGACATCGCTGACCCGTGGTGCTCTTAGCTTGATGATGAGAAATCGGCGCGCTACGCGGGGGTAGTCGGACGCGCGTGTATTTGAAGTATAACTGCTTCATTGGACGTAGTTGCGCATGGTCGCGATGTGCTAACAAGGAAGCTGCAGTCCAGTCGGGACGGGTGTTGAGGTATTGTTAATTCTAAGTGCGTATCAGCTGTCTTGAGGTCACTGCTCGCCGTGGCTTCCTGCGCTCCCATGGTGTAGGCGTTGTGCAGTAGCGCCCGTGCTAGTAGGTGTTGCCATCGAGACATGCGATGTAGCGTCCGTCTGTCATATGTCAGTCCTTTGTGAATTGCGTATAGGTTGGCTCTCTAGGCCATGCATGTGGCGAGTCTGATGTTGTTGGCGCATTTGCCTGCGCGTTGTGGTCGGACGTCACTTGCCGCGTGCGTGCTGCGTGCTTGTGAGTGGGATGTGTTGTTGCTCTGTATGGGCGGCGTAATGTAGCCCATTTTCCTGGATGATTGGGCATGCGCAGTGGTCGCTAAGTTTGTCTGCTTTGTGAATGGCCCAGTCGATGCCTGGGTGGTCTTGAAATAGCTCACGCATCACGTTGTCTGGTTGTGGAATCATGTGAATGGTGCTATGCAGTTATGTGGGCCTGCGCTGCTGCGTGATGCGTTGCAAGTGCGCCTGCCAGTTCGTTCCATGAGTGGTCGTCGCGTCCGCGCACGCAGCGCAGTTCGATATAGTGCGTTGTGCCTGCTCGGTGGGCAACAACTTGCGCAAGTCTCGCGTTTGGGTCGCTAGAGACATGCTGGGTGAATTGGTGCATTGCGTCGGTTGGGCCGGCGCGGATTCGCCTTGCAATGTGAGGTGGGTGTTGCGCGGCGCACATGGTTGGCCAGGTGGCGGCTGCTAGTTTTATGTTTGCGCTGTCGAATCGAGCGCAATCGATGTCGGCATGCGTGCCATTGATGATGATCCCAGAATACTGCCCCGCGTTGCTGGGTCGGTTACCGTCGCAGCGAAATGCTGCGAAGGCCAATGCTGAAGTGTCATGTGCTGTTCATGGGAAACCGACTGGGTCAACGAGACGGGTCGCGATAGTTTTCGGGCAGTTGCAAGTAGTTCGGGAGAGATGCTTGCGCGGCAGGAAGAAGCCCAGGGCTTGCGAGCTCGACGTAGTTGGACGCGAGTGGGGGTCTGCAGTCGGTCGAAAGAAATGCATAGGAATAAATTGTTTGACGCAGTGCGCGCTGAAGCTGGATGCGCAAAGCGTGGCGCCAGTGGGCGCTGGCTGCTCTGGGCGGATTGTCGCGCCTCGCCCACTCGGCGGCGTGGGAGACGGCGGCGCTGGGTCAGCGCGGGTCAAGCGCCGCAGAAAATTGGGCCGAGCCGCGCCCCAGCTATTTGGAATTGTTTGCCGATCTGGAAGGGCTGGCACACGTCGGCTTGAGCTGCGAGCGATGTATCTGGGCGCGTTTTGCGGCGCACTTCTTCGCGGCGAGTGAAACGCCTGCGGTCGGTCGTCGGCGGTGGCCCGAATCGCCCCTGCAGATTCAGTCTCCGTCGGGTTGGCGTGGTGCCTCATATTGTGATGCCGTGTCCCTTTACTGGCTGCGGGTTGCTGAAACAGCACGGTGTATCTCCTGGCGTCGCGTCGCGCGTGAGCGCTGTGCTTCTTTGCTCTGGTGTTCTTGGGTGAGAAGACACTGCAGGGTGCACCTTCGTTGGTGCATGCGGAGCGCGGGCGTGTTGCGGTGCCCTTGGGGTGGGCCGCCCTGTTGGCGTGGCGGATGCTTCCTGAGTTGAGTCGGTAGTCTGCGGCGCTGCGTGTTGAGCCATGCTGTTGCGCCGTGCTTAGTGGCGTCGTTCTGCGTTGAAGGTTGGTCGGCGATCTCTGTCCTGGCCGTTGCCGCCGCGCCTGCGATGTCGCTTAGTTCTTAATATAACCACTGTGCGTCTTCTTCATCTTGAGCTCGCTGTGAAAGATGGCGTTGTTGGTATTGTCGTTCTGCGTCGAAGATTGCTTGCTCGTAGTCCACCATTTGATACTCACATTCGTTGTCGTGGTCGGAAACTGCTGGCAATTGACAGGGTTGCTGCGACTGCCAAAGTGGCTATTGTAACTATTCATGTCCGCGGGTGTGCCATTGTTCCGGACGTGATTGTGTTTCTTCGTGTTGCTCCAGCTTGTACTACTTGCTTAGTCTGTTGGCTACAGTGTCTTGTTCGTACCTCGGCTGCGCTGAGTCGGCATCGATGGCGCTGGCTGGCTGCGTGGAGGTGCTCCGCGACGTCATTGAAAACGATGGTGGCTGCTCTCTCTGCATGATAAACGGCCGGCATATTTGTCTCGTTTTTGTTGTAGCCTGTGCCGTTGTAGCTGCTTCTCGAGCCGCTCATACTTCCTGGTAGAATATGCATGGCGCCCTGGCCCTTTGCGATTCGTGCTTGATGCGTTGCCCCCGCAGTCAATGGAGGCGGCGTTAGTGCCACCCCAGGCCGTTCGATTCCCTAGTGAGCTCTTGCTCCAAGGACTGAATGTTCTTCGAAGGCATGCTTATGTTGGATTCTTGCGTTGAGGCAAGCTCTGCTTGTTGCGTCTGGTTGTGAAGGTGGAGCTGTTGAATGGTTGCTGCATTTGCTTCTCCGCAGTGCGCTCGGCTTGGACGATGTCCTGGGCGTGTCTATTGTGGTCGGTATGTCGTTGTGCTGCTTGCAGTTGTTGTTGGGCGCGGGGCTCTAGGCATGCCTCAACCATGGTTGTTTGCGCCTCTTCATCTTGTTTGGCATATCTTTGGCGTGCCAATGCGCGGCTGTCGAGGGCTCGGCGGTAGCCGTGCCTCACCCGGGTCTCTTTGCTATTTCGGCTTGGTCGTGAAATGCGCATGTCTCCGGTCGGCTGCGTCGCTTCGTAATGCAGTTGGTTCGGTGACGGGGAGTTGTTGCTCAACTTGTTGCATTGCTTGGACTTGCTCGCGTGCTTCGTGACAGTCGTAAGAAGGATAACCGTTTGCTGCTTGTAGATGACTGGTGTCTTCGACGCGAATGTAAGGTTGCTGCAAGGTGTGTCGTTTGGTCGGTGCTCGTTGGCTGCCTGTAACTATCGCATGATCGCGTCGCTTGCTTGCACGCCGTCAAGTGCTGTTTTAGGATGGAGCTGAGTGTCAACGTTTAGTCTTGTATGCCGTTGCTGGTCGGTGTCGTTTCGACTTGGAATTGGATCTCCTGTGTTCAGGGCGAGGTCGCGCGAGTGGCATGTGGGCTGGGCGCGTGATGTCTGTGGTTGGCAAACTGTTTTTGATTCAAGGTTGGTGTAGATCTGCGTGAGTCGGATGTTGCCGTCGTGTCGTTGCTGCGATTGCTTTAGTGTAGCTTAGGAGGTCCCGGCGCAGGCCGCGCAGTCGCCCTTCAGCTGCCACATGTACTGTAGTTGATCATGTAGTGGTGCGTTGGGTCGAAGAGTTGTTTCTTGATGACTGCTACGTCGTGACGTAAGTTGTTGCGACTGCGAGGGTTTGTGATGCCAGCTTCCTGCTGCTAGTTGTTGTGGATGTGGTCCATGCTCCTAGTTCCAATGGTGTAGCACCTGGTCTGCTCTTGTTTGCTAGACGTCGTCGTAGTATGTTTCGGGTATGCTGCCTATGACATTCGTAGTTTTTTTTCTGCCGGCGTATGCCGCGCGGCCAGGATTGTTGCCGAAGCTGGGTTGTGGTGGTGGCTCGTTTTGTCGGCGTTGTGCTCTGTCTTGCTTCTGTTGGGCCGTCTGTCTGGGAGAGGTCGCTCGTCGTTGGCTGTACTTGCGTTGGCGTTGGGTCCATGTGAGTGTCTCGGGTGCTGTGTAATCGTGCATGGTTCCCTGCTGGTGGATGTGAATCGTGTGGGGTGGATAGTAGGTCGGTGCTGGCTGTGCGTGGCTGGTGTATCCGTTGTGTCCCACTGTGTGCCACGCGGAGCTCTTACCATTCCCGCGGCGCTGCAATTGCCGCTGTTCCCCTGTGCATTTTGCCTTGCACTAGGATGCAGTTTTAGTAGGTGTTGTGCACATTGTACTTGGTCGTGCGTCGATTGGTTTAGTAGCCTTCTTGCCGAGGCTACTCTTAGTAATAAGATGGTTGCTGCTCCCATTTCCCGCTCCCTGCGATGCCAGGCTGGGGGTGGAGACGCACTCGGAGTCGTGGTCGTCGGTATGTGCGCGTGCAGCGCCGTTGCCGAAGACGTGAACCCGCTGTGCTAGCGCGGCGCACGTAAGTAGATGGAAAGCCGATCCAAAACATAATGAGTGAGCGGTGAGTGTGTAAATGGGAATACGGCAAAGGATTGAATATTTAGGGTGATTTACGGCTTCCTCCTCCTCCTCTTTTTTCTCATCCTCCTCCTCCTCACCTCTCCTCATTCCCTGGGCACGCGATGGGTGCTGGGGCCAATTTGTGCTGGCGGACCTTCGCAAAAGTGATGGCAATCTCCGCCTCGCGGGTGTGCTCTGAGTTTTTGCTGAATGCCTTGGTGATCCCGGCGGCGATGTCTACCGAGCCCTCCTTCGGAGGGACCTTCATCTTCTGGCTGTTCTCCCTGAGGAAATCGGCAACCGACTTCACCTTTTCCTTGGCGTTGTTGCCCATCTCCTCAACGGCCTGGGGCGCCCTCTCCACCTCCAACTTCTCCTCCTCCTCCTCCTCGTCCTCGTTGTTCTCCTCTTCCTCGCCCTCGTTATCCTCGCCCTCATCCCCTGTCGCCTCTGCCTCTGCCTCGCCCCTGCCCACCCCCTCCCCTTCCGCCTCCCCCCCCCTGCCCTCCGCCCCCCTCTGCGGTTCCCCCCCCCCTTCCCCCCCTGCCGCAGCGGGCGGCAACGTGCCAGACAAGTGCTGGCCATCCATTTCCTGTGACAGGCGCTGCGCGCGGCTTAGAGGCGGCGGGGAGGCGCCACAGAGCGCGGCAGAGGCGAGCGCGGCTGCGCCGAAGGCGGAGGGGTGGAGGAGGATCGGGGGAGTGATTGGAGGGAGGGCGATGGCGATCCGAAGCCTTGGCCGTCTTCTCCACAAGGGCCGTGCTCGTCTCGGCCGCCTCCTTCAGCGGCTCGCTCTTCTCCTTCATCTCCTGGATCATGGTCTCCGACTGCGCCCCCAGCGCCTCGAGCTTCTCCTCCTTCACCTCCTCCTCCCATCCACCTCGTCCTCCATTCCATCTTCTCCTCGTCCTCCTCCTCCTCCTCCTCCTCCTCCTTCGTTCCTCGTTTCAACCTGCCCCTTCTTCCTCCTAACTTCCTTCCTCCAACTTCCTCCCTCCTCTCATCGATGCGGGGGCCCTTTCCTAGACGGGAGGCTCCGCAACGTGGGCGCCTCGAGCTCCTTCAGGAGCTTCTCAGCAGTCTCCCTCGCCTCCTCGGAGCGCGAAGAAGTGCGAGGGGCGGGGGAATGGGGGCGAAAACGAAGAGGATACGGAAGGGAGGAAGAGCCGGAGGAGTCCGACGCGGGGGGCCAGGGGCAGGTGCAGAAGCAATAACGAATGAGGGAGGATAGTATTGATGACGACGATGACGACGACGACGACGATGATGATGATGATGATGATGAGTGTGATGATGATGAGTGTGATGATGATGATGATGATGATGATGATGATGATGATGATGATGATGATGATGATGATAGTGCTGAAGATTACCAATTTGAGGATGATAACAATGATGCTGCTGATGATGGTGATGGTGATGCTGATGATCCACGCGCCTGAATGGGACATGAACTACCTGCTCGCACTGCCACTCGGTATGATGAGAATGATGGTGATGATGGTGATGCGGATGCTGACGTTTATGACGTTTATGATGATGATGATGGTGGTGGTGATGATGATGATGATACTGGTGATGATGCCGATGCTGATGCCGATGCCGACGATGATGATGATGCTGATGATGATGCTGCTGATGATGATGATGCTGGTGACGGCGACGATGATGATGATGATGGTGATGGTGGTGGGGATTATGGGTATGATGCTGCTGACGATAAGGACGATGCTGATGACGAAGATGATGGCAATGATGTTAAGGATGATGATGAGGAGGAGGAGGAGGAATGAGATGATGACGACGCGTATGACAAACAAAAATGCTGTTGTGGATGATGGCCACAATAATGACGCTGGAAAATGGCAACGGTGAGTAGGGTGCGTTAGATCGTGAGGAACGGGGAGCACGATGCAGATGGAGGGAAGACGGAGGGCTGGGAGCGGCTGGTGGGTGGAGGAGGCTGGTGATGTACAGGTGCAGGATGTGGGTGATGATGAGGAGCACGAGAGAGCTATGCGAGGGGAGCGACAAGACGGATGGCGAGGAGTGTGGGTTCGAGCAGGAGCATGGCAATTACTTGGCCTCGCAGTGAGAACTGGCATGCGCGCGCACCTGGCACCCAGATACTGGCGACGGTGACGAATAGACCTAGGATGGTGGTGGGTGGGGACGACGATGAAGAATCATACGCTGAGGAAGGTAAGCGAAATGACGAGGACGATCACCTTGATGATAAGAGCAGGATGGTATGCAGTTCTATCAATATGTTAGCCAGCCTGGATTGTAGAACAACTGCTTTCAATCTATGCGGTGCAATAATGTGGTGCACTCTAGATGGTGTAATACATGTGGTGCAACCATACAGACAGATGCAACACAAAGCACTGCAAAACACTGCGACGCTATGATCAGCTACGCAACACAATGCACCTCAAAGCAATGCACAGCGATGCACCCTAATGCAACGCATTGCAAGGCAAAGCAATGCGAAGCAGCGCACAGCAACGCAATGCAACCCAGCGCAGAGCAATGCAAAGTGATGCCAAACGATGAAATGCAATGCAAAGAAATGCAAAACGATGTAAAACGATGCAATGACACGTAAAACAATGCAAGGTGACGTAATGCTCAGCAATGCAAATTCATGCGAAGCAATGCAAATACGCACATGGCACTGCAAAACCATACAAAGCAACGCAACGTGAGACAGCGCAATGCCCAGCAATGCAAAAACCAGGCGAGCCAATGCAACGCAACACAAGGCGACACGAGGCAACGCAAAGCAAAATAACGCGAAACAAAATGCACAACTGTGCGAAGCAATGCAATGCAATGCAAAACCACGTGATGCACCGCAGTGCAAAAGAACGCGGCAACGGGTGGCGACAGGCCGGGCGGCGGCGAGACGGGCGGCCACAGGCCGGCCGGACCGCCGTCGGGGCCCGATGCAAGCGGCGGCGACGGACGGCGGCGACGGGTGGTCACGAGCTGGCCAGACCCGCAAGCAGGCCAAGTTCCTTAGGAAAGAAGCGAGGACCCGCAAGTGCAAGCACTGCTCGGGGAGAAACGTTTAGGGACATGATGAAGGCGAGAGAAGAAGCGATGATGGTGCTGATTACTAGCCGGCCGCTCTGCGGTTGATCGGGAGTTTCTGTATATAGAAGAAGGTGCGTGCGCTTGTTGGCGAGGGTGATGAGGTTCCTCCTCCTCCTCCTCCTCCTCCTCCTCCTCCTCCTCCTCCTCCTCCTCCATCCTTCTCTTGCCTCCGTCTGTCCTCCTCCACCCCGCAGCTCCATCATCTCTCTCCTCCTCCTCCTCCTCCTCCTCCTCCTCCTCCTCCTCCTCCTCCTCCTCCTCCTCCTCATTCCTCCTCTGGGCACCTCCCCCGGGGCGCGGATCCACCGGATCTGTCCGGATCTGTCCGGAAACGGTGCCGGAGGCCGCTCTGGGCTCCTCTGGGCACCTCCCCCGGGGCCGGTTTTGTGAGGATGTCTCAAGCGAGGGCGCCGGTTTGGGATTCGTCGGATCCACCGGATCCACCGGATCTGTCCGGAAACGGTGCCGGAGGCCGCGCTGGGCTCCTCTGGGCACCTCCCCCGGGGCCGGTTTTGTGAGGATGTCTAAAGCGAGGGCGCCGGTTTGGGATTCGTCGGCGGATCCACCAGATCCACCGGATCTGTCCGGAAACGGTGCCGGAGGCCGCTCTGGGCTCCTCTGGGCACCTCCCCCGGGGCCGGTTTTGTGAGGATGTCTCAAGCGAGGGCGCCGGTTTGGGATTCGTCACCGGATCAGGGACCAGCGGATCAAGGGTATCTGTCCGGAAACGGTGCCGGAGGCCGCTCTGGGCTCCTCTGGGCACCGCCCCCGGGGCCGGTTTTGTGAGGATGTCTCAAGCGAGGGCGCCGGTTTGGGATTCGTCACCGGATCCAGCGGATCCAGCGGATCACCGGATCTGTCCGGAAACGGTGCCGGAGGCCGCTCTGGGCTCCTCTGGGCACCTCCCCCGGGGCCGGTTTTGTGAGGATGTCTCAAGCGAGGGCGCTGGTTTGGGATTCGTCGGCGGATCCACGGATCCACCGGATCCAGCGGATCTGTCCGGAAACGGTGCCGGAGGCCGCTCTGGGCTCCTCTGGGCACCTCCCCCGGGGCCGGGTTTGTGAGGATGTCTCAAGCGAGGGCGCCGGTTTGGGATTCGTCACCGGATCCAGCGGATCCAGCGGATCCAGCGGATCTGTCCGGAAACGGTGCCGGAGGCCGCTCTGGGCTCCTCGGGGCACCTCCCCCGGGGCCGGTTTTGTGAGGATGTCTCAAGCGAGGGCGCCGGTTTGGGATTCGTCACCGGATCCAGCGGATCCAGCGGATCCAGCGGATCTGTCCGGAAACGGTGCCGGAGGCCGCTCTGGGGTCCTCTGGGAACCTCCCCCGGGGCCGGTTTTGTGAGGATGTCTCAAGCGAGGGCGCCGGTTTGGGATTCGTCGGCGGATCCACCGGATCCACCGGATCGGTCCGGAAACGGTGCCGGAGGCCGCTCTGGGCTCCTCTGGGCACCTCCCCCGGGGCCGGTTTTGTGAGGATGTCTCAAGCGAGGGCGCCGGGTTGGGATTCGTCACCGGATCCAGCGGATCCAGCGGATCCACCGGATCTGTCCGGAAACGGTGCCGGAGGCCGCTCTCTGCGCGCGGCGGGGGTACTTATAAGTACTTATGCTAGTTATAAGTAACTTATGAACTTACGGCCTACTTATAAGTAACTTATAAGTAACTTATAAGTAGCCCGTAAGTAGCCCGTAAGTAGCCCGTAAGTAGCCCGTAAGTAGTCCGTAAGTAGCCGCGTAAGTAGCCCGTAAGTAGCCCGTGGGTTCTAAATTTCAATGGTTTTGGTTCCAAACTGTTTGCGATTTTGCTAACATGCTTTCTGTGAGTTCCATGTTCGGAGGTCGATTTTTTCAGCATGCAATCTGGATTCGTAAATTTCCATGTTCGGAACAAGATTTTCGCAGGTTGTAATTACATTCGTGCGCATGATGTTAACCTGATTAAATTTCTGTTTCTGTTGTTCGCGCCTATAATTTCAATGCTAACTTAAACGAAATTCTTGACACTTCGCGTATCCCCACCAGCCCATCCATAGTGAAACAGCGCGGGCTCTACTGTTGAATTGGGGAGATCTCTGGTAGCGAAGGGTGCGGGTGCTGCTGCTGGTGCTGTTGCTGCTGCTGCTGGCACTGCTGCTGCTGCTGGTGCTACTGCTGGTGTTGCTGATTCTCGTGCTGCTGGCGCTGCTGCTGGTGCTGGTGCTGGTGGTGCTGCTGCTGCTGGGCAGGTGTTGCTGGCGCTGCTGCTGGTGTCATTGCCGCTGGTGGTGCTGTGGGTGCTGGTGGTGCTGCTGCTTCTGGTAGTTTTGCTGCGGGTGCTGCGGGTGTTGCTGGTTCTCGTGATGCTGCTGGCGCTGCTGTGGTGCTGCTGATGGTGCTGGTGTTGCTGTTGGTGGTGGTGGTGGTGCTGCTGCTGCTGCTGGTGCTGCTGGTGCTGGCTGATGCTGGCGATGGTTATCGTGCTGCTGGTGCTGCTGGTGCTGCTGCTAATGCATTTGCTGCTAATGGTGGTGATGTTGGTGCTGCTGATAGTGCTAGTGCTGTTGCTGCTGCTGCTGCTAGGTGCTGCTGCTGGTGCTGCTGCTGACGGTGGTGGCGGTGTTGCTGGTGCTACCGCTGCTGCCAAGTGCTCTTGCTGGTGGTTGTAGTGATGCTGCTATTGATGCAGGTGCTGACGGTGGTAGTGAAATCAGGCAGCGTAACAACCGCCTAGGAAGCGTTTCCTCGGAGGTATTGGGATCTTCGGGCCATGTGGTGCTCGTTTGGAAGGTCTTGGGGGGGATCTTAAATTCTTTTTGGTGGCATAGGGGACCTCTTGGAGCAGTGGCCACCATTGTTCAAAAAGAGGGGGGCTTAATTCCACCCACCCACCCCTAGGAGCTTCCAAAAAAGGCGCTCTCGCGCTCTTGGACGCCATTGGGGCCCTCTTGGGGCCCCTTGGGCCATCTCGGGGTCATCTTGACGCCTCAAGAGCCCATCGGAAGCGAAAAAGC